ACCTCTTCATTTCTTGAATACACGTGTAGTTTGATATACATAATTGTTGACAATTGTTATTTATTTGGTTTTCAGGCATCTACAGCCCAGAATACTACAAAACATTTCGGCGTTGGCATCCTGGTGACTTAGCCTACTTCCTCATGATCGCGTGTTTACATCTATTCAAACACATAAGTGTGGAGGCAGCCACACTTTGCCTGCATCTGATAGGTTCAGTGTCCTCCATTGACTACGAGAAAGCAAAGGATCCGCATGTCGTGGTGCCAAAGACTATGAGTACATTTCTGGATGGACTGAGAGTTGAGCCCAAGATTCGCCGAACAGTATGCTGTCCCAAATGCTTCAAATTGTCCTACAATAAAGATATACCCAAGTTTTGCACGTCTCGACTTACCCCCCGGAGCCGTGAATGTTCAGAAGCCCTTTCCCATGGAGCTGAGGATCTAGACGGGACCACTCCAAAACCATGCCGGCTATTTTCAACCGTATCTTTCACTGACTGGTTAGCTCGATTTCTGAATCGGCCTGGAATTGAGGAACTGCTGGAATGGGACGCAAAACAAATTGAAAAAGATTGCTCAACAATGAAAGACGTGCGGCACGCTTCAATGTGGCACTCGCTTCGTGGACCAGACGGACAGAAATTTACCTCCCTTCCCGGAAATCTGGTGTTTGCCTTGAACGTGGATTGGTTTAATGCTAACGGAAATAAGGCTGCTTTGAAGCAAATTTCGCTGGGTACTATTGCATTGGTCTGTTTAAACTTGCCGCCTCAGATTCGGACATCTCAGGAGAACATCTTTCTGGTTGGCCTGACACCTGGTCCTTCGGAGCCTAACGTAGACCAAATAAACCACGTGCTGGCACCTCTGGTTCACGAACTGCAGGTCCTATGGAAGGGTGTAAAGTTCTCTTCTACCGCCAAATACCCTACAAATGGAAGAATAATTCGTGCTATGCTAGGTCCCATTATCTGTGATCTTCCCGCAATACGAAAGGTTTTGGGAATGGCTGGCCATTCGTCAAAGCGACACTTTTGCTCACTGTGTAAGATCGACAAGGATGACATAAATCTTCTACAGATTCCGAGAGAACTAAGAAAATGTACGCACACTCTTCGGGAACAATCTTTGGCATGGAGGAATGCAACAACGGTCAAAGATCGGGAAGCGATATTTGGTGAATACGGCGTACGATACTCTGTGCTGTGGGAGCTACCTTATTTTGATCCTCTCAAGAACACCATCGTAGAACCAATGCACAACATATTTCTTGGCATAGTCAAAAATCATGGCACAAAGGCGTTTGGAATGAAGTCTGTCTCGCAATCTCCCGACGACGATAAGAATATGGACGATAGAGATGGCGAAGGCTCAGATACAGAGACAGGGGCATCCGATCTTCGTAAGATGGATGATTCAGGCAATGCAGAGGCCGAAACTTTGGATTCCGAATCATCACTCCCAGCTACGGGATACCTATCAGCAGAGGATGATGATAGATTGTTGTTTGCACTTGAAAATATGAATTTAGAGAGCAACCAATTTCCGGAGACATCCCTCAAAGATGACCACACAAGCCAAGAAGATACGGATGGCTTTTCAGAGGACGAAGCATTGGACAACGACCTCTCTGACTACGAAGAGGCCTATGGAGATGAACCTGGTTTCCAGTTCTTCGACAAAAACCAAAACTTAGCCGCGTTGCAAGATATCGCAAAGAATATCCGGCTTCCATCTTGGGTTGGACGTGTTCCCAGTACTGTAGGCACGCGGAAGGGTGGGAAATTGAAGGCGGACGAATGGGTAATTCTTTTTCAGGTCATGATAATTCCTGCTATCATTTCTGTCCTGAACAAAGAAGACGGTGCAGCAAATTTCACAGACCACGATTTTGTTCGCAATGTCCTCCATCTTATAAGTGTAGTGAATATTGTTCGAAGGGTGGAAGTGACGGAAAATGACGTCAGATCCCTCCGATATCACCTTCGAAGCTATCGAAACGGATATTCTAAACTTTATAGATCACTGCCTGTGCTACCCAATCATCACATGGCGCTTCATCTCCCAGAGTGCATTCGACGCTTTGGTCCTGCTCCTTTCTGGACTGCATGGTCCTTTGAGAGGCTGAATGGTGTGCTGGCGAATATTCCCAACAACAACCATCCTAGTAAGTTCGCAAGTTGTTTTACTGACTAGAATACAGACTGGACTGACGAATAAATCATAGATTCACGCGAACTGACAAGAATCAAGATATGGACCACGGGGCAGAACTTACGACCTATCTTGAAAATACTGTGTGAAGATCTTCCAAAAGCCATCGCGACAAGACTTTTGAAGTTTTTGGATCCCAGTGGTGGCCCACGAGGTAGTACTTCTGAATTTGACGGGCATACGACCATTGATCTAGCTGAAGAACCCACCTATTGCTATGATGAAAAAAAAGCAGAGACCCTGGACTATGTCACCCATGAGAATCTTGCTTGGCGTATGAAGGAGTTAGGATGCGGGCATGTTGTTGTGGCTACTCGGCATTACAAAACCCCACCTCCCTCCCATCACATATTGCTGGGACGCATGGTCAACCAAAAAAAAATGGTAAATCACGGTGGCATATCCTACTCGACCTGGGATCATCACCAGGGGAACAGTATTGTTCTGTATCACTTTAAAGATGCGCGCGGGCCAACGACATATCGGTGGGGACGAATCAACGAGATATTCATAACCAAACCTGGGCCGAAAAACAATCCAAAGGCTCAACTATGGTTCGAAGTGATCCGATTCTCTGAGCTTCGAGCTGCCGAGAAAGCCAAGCATGGACTTGACAATTGGCCGAACGCCAGAATGACGGTTGTGTACAGCTCTCCCAAAAAGAAGGAACTGGTGCGAGTTGATGAGCTTGTTGCTCAAGGAGTGGCTTGGGATACCCCTGACAGGTGCTTTGGGATAAATCAGCCAACCACACTAATCATCAACTTGAGCAAGTTTTTGTGCAATCAAACTTGATCATTTTTGAACTTTTTTTGACCACTTGATACAAAATTCGTTTGTTGTTTGGGCAGTAGAAAGATATTGTGCTTCATCCATTCCCTACATCATCTGATAGGCCACCTTGAAAAAGACTGGTAGACACGATACTTAGGCTGTTTGTAAATAAACCTGATGCCAACAATGTGAATAAGTAATCAAGATGATCCCAGGACCCGCAACTGACTAACAATGAGCTTGCATTGGAGAAAGGTCTGAATGAGGTTTAGTTCGTACTGTTTGTGGAGTCATAACACCACCCTTCCAATGATCCCAATTATATAAAGATTACACCTTTGATTACATGGATACTCATAAATAATCAGAATTGTGACTGCGATTTCATTGATTATCTCGAACCCAATCTACAGGTCGTATGTGAACTTTTCTCATCTGGCTGGCCACTGCATGTATTACAAGCGATCACCGTATTCTCGCGGATTAAACCATGGCATTTCGAATCCAATTCGAAACCACCTGGGCTTTTCTATTCCTGTTCAATTTTGCAAATTGTATTGATTCCTTGATGTTGAACATATCAAGTCTTTGAAAATATCAACAAGAAAAAACAGAAAACCCCTTCTTTGAAAGGTTTTAGTCAAAAACTAGTGTAACGACTTATGTTTTTGATGCGTCAAGAAATCGGGTAATCGAGAGGGAACTTGAGAAGCTAGGGAAGCGTATTTCTTCATCCTCCTAGATCTCCATCCGCACAAGACATATGGAAAGATTATCGTCTAGTAGCTAGATGGGTTATAATTTTTGTCTTTGACGAATGGACCTCCTTGCGTACCCGACTACCATTGCCCAAAAGCCCTTTTCAGCCTATTCCCGTCTATCAATACATGCACTGACTTTCAGTAATCCTGACGTAGTAACATGAGAGGGTATACGTGAAGTTTGGAAAACGGAGATCTCCCGTTGTTTCGCCTGCTTCGAACTAGACATGTATGGTAGGCTGTGGCACTGTGACTTTGACGTGCTTCGAAAGGTGACAATTGTGCTGAACTGGAAGAGAACGCTTCGATTTTTGTCAAAGTCACTGATTATAGATATGTGACGGAGGAGTTGAGCGTGTGATGAGTGTTTGGAAGTACCTTCTTGCTGACGTGCGTGCACATCAACTCAGTATACATACACCCAACACGACTTCGACGTGCTTTGAGAGAACACAATCATGCTTCACTGGAAGATCCAAAGGATATTACCAAGACTCATGTAAAGATCAGCTTGGCCAAGTCTGAGCACTTGCTTAAGATCGTGATATGTTCAAATCTCAAGGTGTTGTCTATTATTCAGAAAACGCAGCTGAGTATGTCCTGACTACATGCTTCGAACTGATAGTCAGTAAACACGAAGCGTTGATGAGTCTCGCACAGACTTGCCTACTAACACAATGTCCTCGACGCGCTTTGAAAGGCCACAATGAGGCTCAACTGGAGCCTCGAAAAGCATCCTCAAGACTCATCTATGATCAGCTTGGCCAAGTGTGACGCGTGATAAAATTTTGGTATGTCACGTATATTTCGAGTCATCTACATATGATTACGCACTTGTACCGGAACTTCAGACCGCGTAGAGTATACGTAAGCCTTCTCAAAACGCATCCGTTGTTTGTTGAATACCTGCAGCTTTGAACTGATACTCAGTAAACAAAAAGGCAAATTACGCCTATCATTCAGATGCCTTCAAATCTCAAGACATCGTCGATTGCTCAGGAAACGCGGCTGCGTATGCCTGTGCGAGCTAGCAACACCAGTCACAGCGTGACAAAAGTCCAAAGGCAATCTTACTCTATATAAACAGTATATACATCACTTGAGACTGCTATCACCCAGCGAATAGTATTCCTTGCAACTCTTCAATCACGACCCAATTTCATAAGTTACACCTAGCATCAAAACACAAAATACACCTCATCCCCAAATCTCACTCTTAGAACAAATACTTTAAGCTGTTGCTGTCATGGATGAAAATGTGCATGTCATGGCCTTAGGGCAAAAGGTCCTCGACAACGAGGTAAGTAGAAAGATTGTCGGACTTATATTCTTCACTGATATGCTTCTCCTTCTCAGGTGATGATGGGTATGATACTCACGCAGATGGAACAGATAAGGAAAAAACTTACAAAGCCTTCCGGAATCCCGGTCAGTCTTGATTTTATGATGAGTATAACTTTGAACAAAACTAAAGAGAAAGTCTTAACAGGCGCAAAGCGAGAGTACAGACATTGGTCCTGTGTGGTACAACGATCTCGAGAACTGTAAAGAGAACATTGAAGCCATAAAAGAGGTTCATTTTGGAATTTGGTTTTTTACTGGTATTCGTATTTCTGACCAATCTGCTTAACATTGACTTTTCCACATGCGTAGACAATTGCTCGTGACAAACAGGACACCCGCAAAATTCAAAGCCTTCTTTCTACGATCAAGGGCATAGAGGGAAGAATGCAAAAAATTGATGTCAAGATTGATGATATAGAGGCAAAAGAAGTTGAGTCCAACCTGTTGGGTTTGGTCACATCAAATCAATCCAAGGAGCTTTCAACCACTACGGCAAGCAACGATGTAGCTGCGGTGACGTTTGAAGAGGTTACTATACTCTCCCTCTATTCCCTTTTGCCCCTTATCTCATCAACACCACTCGAACTTTCTTTAATTGAACTGTTTTTCCCGCATATCTTCTAGAAACTGTTTGCAAAAGAACAAGAGATTATCAAGAAAATTTTTAACCAAGTCGAAGCGCTTTTGAAAGCTCAGCAACAACTTATGGAGGGTGCGAGAGATGAAGATCGCAAGAATATGGCTAACCTTGTCCACAGGGAGATTACAACTCTACATCAAGAGCTGACGAATCAAAATGCATCACACGGCATAACTATGATGGATGATGAGGTTGAACCTCTGGCCTTGGAAATTAAAGAACTGAAAACGGTAGTGCAGGGACTCGAAAGCTTTGTTCATAAGCAGCAGAATGCTATCGAACAATTTTCCGAAAAGTTCGAACTTCCGGACGAGGTCCCACAGATCTGCGATGATATGGAAATTGATAAGGTTTGGTTCCACATTTTTATTCTTTCACCAATACCTATCCCATATTTTTGAGCCAGTCTTCTGATTAGTTCGTGCTCGTGCTTGATCCCTTTTGAAGCCTGAAGACCATCTTGAACGCAGAGTCTCTGCTGTCGAATCCTTCTCAGAGGAAGCTGAAGCCCAGCGCGAAGCCAGGAATGCCGAGAAGTTTGAAAAATTTCAACAGGAAATGCTAAAGTTGATTCATTCAATGGTAGAAGAAAGGACTTTGGCCAGTGTAAGTGTACAAGTTCCCCTTCTGTGAACTGATTTTTTACTGAGGCAAAAAAAACTTTGCCTCAATAGGCTGCAGAACTTTCGGCTCAGCAAAGCAAGATCTTGCAGGTTGAAGGACCAGAGCTGGATCTTGAAAACGAATTCAACAGCAGATTTTCTGCCTTCAGGAAAACAATAGATGATGCAGTTGAAAGACAGGTAGTCATCACAATTGACCGACAAGCAGTACAAGATAAACCTTCTGATGTGCGTGTTGCGTATTGCTCATTATCCTACGCTTGAGCCCTACCTGAATCCATCACATTCAACAGGTGTCTGAAGACTTGCGCCTTCAAATATTGGATTTGAGAAATCGTGACGAAGAGAATCGGCGGAAGATTTCTGACCAATCTGCGGCCATAGAAAAAATCTCTTCCGGATTGCCCTGTCCTGACTCACGTCAAGAACCTCCTCAAGGATCTCGTGAAGCACTCGTTCGATTCCAAGAATCACCCCATGAAGAACACTCGGATGGGTTTCTTGATTTTACAAACAGCTTGCAGTCTGGATCATCACATTGTTCCACGCCACAAATGCAAGGCCATCCAGGAAACCGCGAGGAAGAGGCGAGAGGCAGAGGTGGGGTTCTTCTTAATGTAAGGAGCCTTGATGTCTCCTATACCGCGGCACCCGAAAGATCTGCATCTGTGCTGAGAGCTCTACTTCGCAAATCACAGACTAGCGTACCGACTTCTCCTAATAACACCTCATCTTTCCAACGCACAACCTCTACGGATCGCGCTTCCCAACGATCCTCGCAACAATCGACGCCGGTGCATAACCCGGAAAATAATCAATCAAGTCCAGGATACCGCGAGGAAGAGGCGAGAGGCGGACGTGGGGTTCGTTTTGATGTAAGCACGTTGATGTCTCTTATACCGCGGCACCCAAAAGATCTGCATCTGTGCTGAGAGCTCTAGTTCGTAAATCACAGACCAGCGTACCGACTTCTCCTAATAACACCCCATCTTTCCAACGCACAACCTCTGCGGATCGCACTTCCCAACGACCCTCACAACAATCGACGCCGGTGCAAAACCCGGAAAACGATCAATCAACTTCTCAATCAACGTCACGTATCAACTCCAATGGGCAATCTGCTACAGGAAGTGGCACGGCCACGCCTGTCTCAAGAAAACGAAAGTGGAGGAAATCCAAAGAAGCACCCAAAAAACCAAAGCGTCCAAGTCTTCGGCAAGAACGAAGGTCAATGACTCCACAGGTAAAAGAAGCTGATGAACAAACAGTGAGTCCTAAATGATTGAATAGCTGTTAAGCAGCACATTGAACGTCAAACTGAAAGTAATGTTGGCACAGGCACTTCAGGTACAGAAGCATTTTCGACTGATGGCAGGGGTGGGTCGCTCTAAAGTAGACTTCCCAAAATCCCCAACACACTCAGACCTCGAAAACCTGCCGAAGCTCACTGTAGATTACGAGACTGCACCACTTGGAGAGGCTGTCCCCAACCTGATCAGACAGGATCAACTCCGACCAACTTGGAAACCTGAAGAAATGGAACATGAAGCATCTGGTATGCTACAATACTACCGACGTAGACTTCAGCAATATGGGCTTCCTTATGTGGGTTTGAGCACAGCTAAAGATATAAACGCAGAGGACTGGAATAGAAGGGTTCTTGCATTCTGCACGGATACGTTCAACAGAGCATACGGATGTCAAGAGTATCATGTCGTGGACCACAACCCGCAACGTATCATGAAACTAATGCAAGTGCATATTGAGTACCGCCTGAAGCATATGAGAAGATACAGCAATAATGAAGATGTACTTCAGACGGACCAAAAACGAGACCGTCAACAACAAAGAAGATTACGAGTATGTTCTGGGCTTTTGGATGTACCATGATAAGTTCAAGACTAACATTTTCTATCTTGTTCTCTAGCTTGCAAAACGAAGACAGGAGATGTGTGGAAATGTCGAAAGTTCGCCGTTTGCAAAATTCAGTGATCTATTTGAAGACGAACGACTGTGCTCGTCAGACGAGTCCGACGAAGACGTGCTGAACGAAGACCGAGTGAGGCACACCCCGGTATGGCGCAGCTCCCTGGCTACATCACTCGTGGAAAACATTGATGAAAGTTACCACAAGATGAGGCAAGAGGAATTCCCGAGGCGACCTGGACGGAAACCCGCGAAGCGTGTTCTCTCGAACTATCGACCAGAGGGGGGGAAGTCGCGATGGCCCGCAGGCTTGCCCAAAGATTGCTACAGTGACGTGTGGCTGCGCTCACTTGACAGGAAAGATTTGGAAAGTCTTGAAATGAAGGAATGCATCTTGGATAATTCTTTTCTGACCCTCTCATGAAGGTCCTCTTCACGACCGTAAAGATCTCGGCTCAAGATATACTGGCTTGTAAATATTATACGACCCACAGTTTCTAAATCTTTGTAATTTTGCTAGATGTTGATAATACCAATCCCTTGATTTGACTCATTGCGCGCATAAACAGTCTTTGAGCTCTGAGGGTACTAACCATTTTTACGGTTATTTTTGACATGATTAGTACGAGAACACGAGTTATGACCATAGTAAAATTTCCCGGTTAGCAGGAAAATGTCCAAATCGATGAAATTGAAAGCTGCATGACGGATGTGTCAAAATTACACATTTAAACGAGACATAGAGAGACAAGGTAGGAATTGGTGCATCATCATGACAAACCGCCTTCAGGCAGCCATTTAAAACCAAGGCACGAAAATGCATGGATAAATTATCAAGAGTGGACAATGTACAACTTGTAGAAGCATCATCAGGATGGAATAGATGGGATATAGCATGGCTCCTGTTTCAAGAGTATTTGAACGAGTCGGAAGACATACCGTTTCTCACATGATCTCAATGAATCTGAAGTCTTTCTCTTTCTCTTAATATGGTTGGAAAAATTTGTTGAAATTTTGAGGACACGACGGGATCAAAGTGTAAAAATCGGTGGGCAAATAGTCCTCTTCTTTGTTGAAGCTCACCAATTTTGAAATCCCAACTTTTCGGATTTCACCTCAAGGTTCAATTTCATAGCTTTTTGGAATGAAGCTCAAAGTCTTTGAGCTTTGAAGTTCGAGCTTTGAAGTTCGGATTTCTTCGAAGTTCAAAGTTCAAACTAGCAACTTTGAGGTAGGGTTTAGAATTCATTGACACACAAAACCTACACTTCCTTGCTCAAGTATACCGCCAAATCAAGATTTTGTTTGAAAAAATTCTACAAGGTGAAAGAACCTCAAGAGAGGAAGATGAAATAAAAAACATTAAAATGTGAGTAGGCTCACAGTGGGTCGACGTCCAGTTTAAGTCTGAAAGGTAAGGGAACCACAATATATTTGACTTCGAATTCCCAAAAGAACAGAAATAAATGAATTACATGGGTACTGTTCCATTCGAAAAAGGCATAGCAGGTGATTCGAAGTCACAATAGGAAAGACGTTGAATCTTTCGATTTTGAAGAGGTAAAAATTTGTACTTAAAGATTGTGTGTGAATACTTTTCTGAAAGTGATATATTTGACAATGTGTGATCTTTTAACAAAAGAAAAGAGCGTTTTTATGACTCAAAGCTTGGGGCTCGAATTTGGTGGGTACCTACAGTAAAGAGCTAAAGTTGGGTGGGGTGAATGATATTGCAAGTATAGCGGTGATTGATCAAAAAATAGGAGGCGATTTCATGTGCTGAAATAGTCACTACCAGCTTGTAAGAAGCAGTAGTGAAGGAGAACATGAAGATTTAAACTACAATCACAACGCGAGCTCACGCAGCCAACCAGTGGACGAGATAATCTGAATGAATGCATACAACGCCTACTAGTCACCAAGAACACTTCCCAATGCAATTTTTTCCGATGGTGGATCTGGCGATAACTGGCCGACATGACTGCGTATTGCATCTAGCAGTATCAGACACTGCATATTAACTTCATGGGCGTTCTTGGAGTTTTCATGCGGTCCACTACCACACTCTGATCAATGACTTATGATTAGCATCAGAGAAGCGTAACATAATCCAAATTAGTACTCACCAGCCAAGAATGAAGGTTGTCCTGATATAGCTTTAGAAGAGGTCTTGTATTGTTCAAAAACGTGGAGATCTCGTGCGTCTGGCTCAGTATCCCTCTGATTGATTGTAGATTTTGATTCAAGTCTTGACTTCTGGTTGAACCGAAAGCGTCTGTGATGCGGCTGAATATGGAACTTTGAGTTAATTTCCTTTCCATGATGTGAAGGTGGTACCTTGCGTCCTCGTTGGCTTTGTTCGTGATTTGAATCGTATTAAGGATACTTGTGATAGACCTTGATAGGACACTTAACGAATCGCGATGACGGTCGAGGATTCTTTTGGCGGTGTGCATGTCATTGGTGGCTTCCTGACGATTGAACCAGAAAATGAACTATGTAGTTCACAAATATCATGTTAATCGTTGAAAATCAAAATCTGCCCAAACGTTTGGCAGTGGCCTTACTCACCTCACGCATGAAGATTCAAGCTCGGTGTGTCCTTTGCCGTTGAGCTGGCGCATCATGTCGGAGACCAAATCAACGTTCTCCAATACTTTCGCCAGGAGGCTTACAGTAGCTGATGACTCTGTCAGCTCCGTGCAAGTCTTCAACACACCCGATAACTCTCTTAGAGCAAGAAAGTCTATCGGTTTGAGAATCAGATTGTTGCTGAGAGACTTCATTGATTCAATGAATGTGACCGGGGTGTGTTGAATCTGACGAAGTTCTGCCAAGGCCTGACCTGATTTGATTTGGTCTGTCGCCTCCTTCAGCTGATCAACTTGTGTAGCGAAAGAGCTTCTACGAAATAAATTAGGAAATATAATATACACAATGGTGAGCAATTTTTAACTGAGAAAACAAATATATGTGAAGAAATTCACTCCTGAAAGAAATACCAAGCCATTATGAACGCAATAGCAGATGATAATATATAACGTAAAGGCCAAACGTGGCGCCGACGAGGAACTGAATCATGATCGGGTGCTTGGTGCGGTGGAGGTTTGGTATTGGAGACATTGCCATTTACGTCGCTTGGGAATTCTAAACTGGTTGTGAGCCAGTTGGGGTTCATGTTTGTTGACGATGGATCGTAATTGGAGATCGTGGCCATGACGGTTAAGGACTCGAGGCAGTGGTAAGCGATGATTCCTACAGGTGATTTTAATATACGTTTACGTCGAAATCTCAGGAGTTGAAGTGCCCAAGATCAGAGCAGTTGGCCATTAAATACGATGAGTCAGGCTACGTTTTTGTCTGATTTACGCGTGCTTCGACTGAGAGCTTCTGAGCCTGAGGCTCTTGGGATTGTTGCCTTTGTTGCCTTTCTCGTGCTCAGGATAACACGTGATACGCGCTCACATAGACTTGCACAGTCAAACGCTTAACAGGGAGAGCGGAGTAGATGACTCAGTGGATTTGGCTCTCTCGACTGAGTTAGAGTGCGTCTCGCTTTGAAAGGCACAGATAACCTTTGAATCTAAAGGCTTTATGTGCAAACCCTCTAGTAACAAAGGACGGCCCAGGGAGGGTCAGTCTTGGTCCATCCGCTCTCTTCAAGTTATTCAGCACTATATTGACCATATCTTTGCAACTATCGGCTCATATTGATCTCCTTTGACCTCCTCGAAAACCCTTACAAACACACAACCTGATTTGCTTGCGTAAGCCCATGATCCCTGGTTTATATGAAGCTGGTAACTGACGTACCCATATGATACGAACCGCCTTCTATGATTACAGGACAATGGTTCGATTAGTTTTGTCAGGAAATATTTCTAGATGGGCTCTATTGGTTTTGTTGGCGGTTACGATTCCTGCTATACCCACCACTATTCACCAATACCTCATACAATGTTTCACTTTCCGTCTTCCAACGGTCTCGCACTTGTACTGCGCGTATATTGGCGGGCCGTATTTTTGTGGACCCAAAGACAGTAGCCGCTCGAAAAAGGTGGCTCTGCTATCCAACACCGTGACATCGACTGCACGCTCCGCTGGGGATATCTTCGAGTCGATCCTTGACCTAGGAAATCCCAACCATGTCCGTCTTTACCAAGATGAGATCCTGGAACTTTCTCAGACTATCGCTGCCTCGGACATCCTGGGGAAGAAAGAACACCTTGCCGAAAGTGTTCAGAACCTCAGTGAGATGACCAGAGATGTCAGGGACAGGGTCAACCTCTTGAATAGTGCAAGTATATCAGTATTGCGAAAGGTTTTTCAGAAAGTAAGTATTTCATTCATCGCATATGATTGATACCTTCCAAGGAGCAGTAAATTCCTGAACTAAGTAGTCCTTTTTTTACAAGCTCGAAGTGATAGGGCTTATTCTGAATTCCATTGCCGGTGGGGGAGATGTATACTCGACTACGTCAGCGCAGGCCAGATTGACGGACCTGGTGCAAACCATCTCGAATGGGTTTTCCGAGCTAGAGGCGCAGGTAGACGCCGCCATTCCACTGGCCAGACAAGGTTCGAATTTTGCAGCCACTGTTGGCGCTCAATTTGCCCAACAAAACATGCAACTGCGAAAATTAAAGGCCGGGGTTCCGCTTTGGAAACGCTTGGTCAACTTCAACACCTGGGAAAGTCAATCGCTCAATCGAAATATTGCAATGACTACCGCAAGCGCATCGACGTTGAGGTCTATTGCATTAAAGCTTGAAGACCTCCGCGCAACTCTTGTAACCTTTCAGGGAAACGCGGAACATTTTCGAGTGAGTCTCTCTGTGTCTTTCCTACATTCTGGAAAGATCCATTAATCACATGTTGTCATCAGTCCGAGGTCATAGGTAATCATAAGTCTTGTCGTGAGCTAGCAATCGATGACGAATTTCGGGCAATGAGCCAGGTAATCGGTCGCTTCAGTCAGCTCACTGAGGCGGCTGGAACCAGCCTTAAAGTAACTCGGGTCGATTCGCCGACCCTTTCAGCCTGAGACCTGCCACAATTTACTACTCAATGTTTTCACTCTCAGATTCATTCCTCTTAAGATACCCTCAAAGGACACCAAAACCTCGTGCGCCTAGTCTATGATCCACACTCCATTACCCATTGGGCACCACCTATTACCTGTTTTCAATATCTTGCTACTTCTTCTTGTATTGAGTTTTGTCAAGTTTACTCCACATCTACATATCTATTGGCCACAAGTCATAAATTGCTCAATGATACACCAGAATTCAATTGAGGTTACAGAAATTTTGTCATCCACAAGGGGGAAACCCTGGCGTACATTCAAGATTTGCTCAGTTAGTCATGGAGTACGTGGGTGAGAAGAAGTCGGGATGACCTATTTGTGCACGTATTAAGCATGCCTTTGTTTGAGCTCCAGTTTGCAAAGGCCAAGTCTCCGGCCTTGAAGTGTAGTTTCAACAGTTCGAAGCTTGAACTGACTTTCAAGTTCGAACTTATTTTGAAGTTCGAACTTATTTTGAAGTTCGAACTTATTTTGAAGTTTGAACTTACTTCAAAGCTTACTTCGAAGTCTGAATTTTTGAAATCCCAACATGACTGATAGGCGCAAAAAGTCACTCGCAGGTAGTCTCGTTGAAAGACTGATACGTCAATCAACAGGGGCATTGAGGTCATCTGCGGAGAAGCGCTAGATTGCAGGATCATAAGACCAGAGATACAAGCATGAGACCAGTGATACAAACACGTAGAATTCCAATAATCCCAACACCTTGGCAGACTTCTCATCTTATTATCAAGGGGTTATCGTGGAGTCATATCGGCGGCGACTGTCGGGATCAAGCAACACTTTAGCGGCCGCCGACATCTAAAGCGAACGGGCATTTACCAGCATCAGAATATGAAACGGAAAGGGTGAATGATCTAGATGTAAGCCTGAGATGAACCTGCCTGTTGTGCTACCCCGGTGTGTCCACCTTTGTCTGGATGAAAATATAACATGCACGACTTCCAGCGACTTTTGATCTGTGCTGAATTTGCCATTGGGGTAAGAGCCAGCTGCTGTTTACGGGGTTAACAGTTAGATTGATTATCAGATCTTCTGGGGAAAGGTCAGATCCTGGATGCACTGACCTCATAAAGCGTCCTTTGCCTTTGTTTTTGGGCTTGATGGCTGCAGGATGTGGGGTCACACTGCTGTTTATTACTGACGCGCCTATAAAGCTGTGAAATCCAAAGAAAATTCTTATCAAGAGTGTCAATGTAGAACTGGCTCTCAGGAGTCCAAAGTTGATCTAGCACTCCTTTGCCCTCATCCAGATGGCCAATGTGCAAATACGCCTCGACAAGGAGTAGATGAATTCGTACAATTTGTTCCTTCAAGTTTTTGACAATAACCTTCCGTTCTTCTGCTATTCTTTTGCGCCCCCCTTCTAAGAGCGAAATTGCATCTTGTGATTTTTCTCGACATAAAAAATCCTGCGCCCACATATACACCAGTTCCAAGATGTCATTGGTGGTGGTGACTTCGTTGTCAGGGGTGTCCGGTTTAGACTCCTGTTGAAAGTAAATTAGTGGAAGTTTGTCTGTCAATCATCTGATGAGCTCATTTTCCGAAAAAAAAAACACTAACGCATGCCTCCGAGTTCGAACTGCTTTCTAAATTATCTTCAACCTCGAAATACAATTGGGATAGTTCTAGGTACTTTGGATGGGTGGCAGGTATGGCCAGGCTTGAGTCTGGGCGCCAAGCTTGTTGAAGGATGTCAGAGGCCGCTTGCGGACGCTTCAGCTTCAGGTAGCATCGTGTTAGATTGAAACACGAAAGAATCCATCCCGTATGGGGACCTCTATTGGTCGCACCATTCTTGCTCTCACATCTGGATATCTCTTCGGAATATAACTGTAGCAATTGTAGATATTTTTGAACCGAGTGTGTATACATTCCTTTCGAGTCGGCATACTCAGCTGCATCCATGAGTTGATCGATGCGGTGTTGATCCTGTAAGGATGGGTCAGGAGGAGTTCGATGGGACTTGGAAGAGGAAATGGTATCGAGATACAACAATCAGTTAACGGAGAAATCAGCAGGTTCGAAGATATCATCAACTCACCATTCTTCCTTCCTTACGGCATTTTATTGAACGATAGACTTGTGTTGTTGCCTCGCTTGATTCGGTTTCTGGCAAACACTTGTATGCCCTCTTTGGACGGGATGATGAAGAGGCATTTCTCGATTCGATTGGTAATGTCTGCTCGGCGGATGTCTTTGAGGGCAACACATCATTCATTTCGAACGTAAAGGTGCAGAAGTACGAAGTACAGAGCAATGTGGTCAAGGTTTGTTTCTGACACCGAGGGCACTATGATGGTTTACGTACTATTTACAGGCCACGAACAACGTAGGAATGAACGGGTCTACTCTAGAGCCGATTGATCAACGTTCAGCAGTACTCAGGAGTATGAAGCCCTGATGTAAGGGGCCAGGTATAGTTTATTTGCGAGACATTTCAAACATTACGCCTGATATTTGCTCAAATTTAACTCAGACCCTTCTCGAACTCAACTTGGGTCCAGCTCAATTTTCTATGACTGAGGACCCGTAGTCTTATCGAACCGCCGATCGCGAACAACGACTCTCTCGAAATCCATTGTTGTGTTTTCCTTCCTCTAACCCAATCTGGCTGATTCAAAAGATTTGGATGTTGATGCCTGAATCCATTCCACTGCGCTTAGCTCAGCCACCGCGTCAGCTGAGTTACTTGCGCACCAAGGCACCCCTGTCGGCCGCATTCGCTCATTCTGTCTTTTGGCTTCCAAACGTTGAGTTGTTTCATCATCAGCCGTTGGAGTTCAGAGTGCGAGTTCCCAAATATATGTATATATACATTTATAATTCATCCTCAATCGTAAAACGTACCAATATCCACTCTTCATTCAATATCTGTTCATTGACAGTGTAGCTTAGGAAACTAATTTGCCGCAAGATTGCTGGTCATCGCTCTAAATCCTCAACTACGCGAAACCCAGGGCCCAAAATCAATTCAAGACTTTGCTCGCGGTGTCAAACTTGAAAATGCCTCAAAAATTGCGGCCCAACAATGGCAACCCCCACAGTTTGGGTCGTAGGGCCGGATTCCGAGTGAGGGAAGCTGTTCATGAACTTTTGCGGCATGCCCCCGCGGTTCATGTTGTCTTATTGATCTTCCTGTCCATAAGTCAGTGCATGTTTCCTACTTAGTCTTTGCGTACGTCTTGGAGGCTGATTTGACACACATTTTCCAGCAATATGTGGGCGAATACACCTTCTTGATCAACGTTTAAAAAAAGCCGAGGGCGAACTCTTCTACATTCGAGTACACACAACATCTCAACCTTGCACCAGCGTCTGGGCCTCCTCGGAGGGTTTCCAATCCAAGCAGCGAGACGCGTCCAATGATCCAGAGACAGTGAAGATAGCAGACAGTCACCATCCCTCCAGCATCATACCAACATTTGTGGAAAATAATTCTCACCACAATGACGTAGCTTCTGATGACAGGCTCCAAGATGTACACTCGGAAAAAGATAGCTTTCAGGCTTGGCCGGAAGACATAATAGGCGATGTCGAGAAAGGCCTCCAAACAACCACGCAGGAAGATTCGTACCAAGTGCAAACCGGGTTACCAACAAGCTATATGGCGCGAGAAGCTTTCAAGCAGTGCATCAAGGATCGGGATGGTCTCAGAGACTTTGCTTTCATGCACACCGGTGGATATGTGATTCGATCCTTAACTTCGGAATCTCATATTCGCTCTAGTAAGACTTGGAGAAGCCATCTTCCTTGGTCGAAAACGCCAGGCGCATCCATAATGAATTCGGAGACACCCGGAACTGCGCTGAGTGGCGATGGTACAGCCGGTAACTGTTGGGCTTTCCGTGGATCAGTAGGACAGCTTGGAATAGGGCTCAGTAGTAAAATCGATATCACCGCCTTATCGATTGAGCACATCGGGGCGCAATTAGCGCAAGATGACATCACATCTGCACCGAGAGAATTCAAACTTTGGGGAGTTAGTGATGACGAGGATACAGTAGCCGGCAAAACACCATTGTTCAAAGGGGTATACAGCATCTCCAGCCCCAGTTCAACTTTACAAATGTTTGAACTCAACAAATCACATAAGTTGCTCTTCAGCAAGGTATTGTTTAAAGTCATCTCGAACTATGGTCATCCCGTGTTTACTTGCCTTTATCGTGTGAGAATACATGGCCAGCCAATTTTTTGAAAACATAAATGTATTTCCATTTCTTTCTTCTAGTTTTACTTCGTAATTTTTGCCATTTAATGTTACGTATACATACATATATTCTGTGAAGCTATACACTCTTGGATGGTTTACACCATAGTCATTTCCTGTTCCTATACATATATATTTTGTGAAAATACTTCATGTGAGACAAAGTGAAATTCGGGAATAGTCATCCGAACCTTCCCGTCCCCAATTCATATGTGTTAACAAGTCTCTTAACTTCCAATCTTCAAAATTGAAACTGTTAAAGATTCAATTTCGTTGCTTCGAAGCAGCAGCAGCTCGTTTTCTCTCTCTTAACGCACATGTTTGTTATCAGCTGATTTCCTGAACCTAGATAGAAGAGAAAGTGATATTGCAACACCATACAACTGGGAATATTAGGCAGATCAAAGAGCCTTGAAGCAACGTTACGGAGACAGAGTAATCTGTTGGTGTTTGGAAAATCTTGAATGTTGTCGACATCTTCTGTCGGACCGAACACGACGCTCGAAAGCTCCATCACAGTTCAGCGACACTGTGTAGCTTCATTTAGAAGTTTTTACATGAATTGGATTGTTGCGGCATCCACACATAACTTGGCTTTTAGGTCAGAGTGGGCATCATGAACGCGTCGTGTCTCTTTCCTATTCTCTGATTTTGAGTCATGCTATGTTAAGATCTTCAATCAGAGATTTTTTTACTAAATTCAGGATATTGGCTTCACTTCCAAAGCAAAATCGTACTTTGTCTGTACGCGTATATACTTTCACAGTTCCCTTTTAGACATGCCGGGAGTTTGAGAAGAATGAAGAAGTCTTTGGTAATTGGTTCTCGTACAGCCTGCTATGTACTAGAAATCAAGTTCATACGCGACTAATCGGCAAACTGTCAACAACAAAGGTGATTTGTGCTTCCCTGTCCGCACAAGTTCCAAATACTACCTCTGGATTTTCCAAACCAATATGCTTCATCCAGTACTGCCACCCCAACGCCCAGACCACAAGCTCCATACAACTCTTTACCTGAAATCGAATATCACCCAATACGCTTTCATCCAAGCCACTCCATCTGAAGCCGACTGAATAGATCTCACACCACAGAACTAATGTTGACGCGTAAAGGGGGCAACAACATCGCATACGAGTGTCCTCATCTTCGAACGTGTTTTGATCCGAGCAGCAAAGGGAAACCGTGCCAAGATTGCAACGGGTTGAACCTGACCGGTGTCCGCAACCATACTCTCAACACCAAGCATCACAAATTTTGCACCCCTGAATGCCCTGTCTACAGATGTGAGATTCGTCAAAATCAAGCTGGTCATTTTCTTCAATGCTGATGATATGCGGATTATGCATAGTGACCGATCTCAGTCAAGTTAAATTTGCAAGAAAGACATTCCCAACGAAAATTGATTCGCATGTCCAATCGACTGCAACTCGAATTCCTTCATCCGAACGGTCTTCTTCACCCTCCCCGCTTGCAAGAAAGACCTCACACATATTACAAACACAAAGCTCACGTGAGGCAGAACCAAATAAGGACTGCATCCCCGCGTCTAGTTTTCGACGGCGCTCTGTGCGGAGCACTTCTACTTGCACTCTTGTCCAAGAAGACTGCCCTGGTAAAGGTGCAACGGTCGTCATTCCACAGAAGGTCACCTTTCTAGACTCGCATCAACCCTTGTCAAACTACTCTTCCTCTACCCGCGAAACAATCAAAGATCTAGACCCTGTCCCAAGCACTTCTACACGCACACCCTTTAACGAGCACTTGACCAGCGAAGTATCACCCCCGGTTTCAGGCTCGCATCAACACCAGTTCAAACAATTCCTGGCTGAAAGCATACACCCAGATTCCAACCGGCTCCATGTTTTTAGCGATTCGCAAAAGTCACACGATCCAAGACCGCTGGTGGGCGAGTCTTCATCGCGCGATCCAGTCGTTCCGATCACGAATACACGCTATGAAGAACCTTTCCGCCTCGATTGGAAGCTTGCTGCACTTTTAGTTGCATTCTTATTTAATCTTTTCTGGTTTATCAGGGCATGTTTTGAGTACTCTAGTGATCAATCAGGAGAGTCCCGTATCAAGTATTGATGAAAGCACGGGGCATCCAGCCTTGCATTGATTCACCGGTAAACTTATCGATCTCTTGACTGCAATATCACAAGGCACATTCATTGGCGATGTATACGTTGAAGACGGTTTCACAATTTTAGTCTGTATGTTTGTTAAGCTTGACCCTACATAGCTGTTGTTGTGTGTCTCATCTGTCATTTTTTCATATCTATGTCCTTGTAAATGTCTTGGCTGGGCCAATATCTATGGCTTCGAGATGGGAGCTAGCATGATTGTAGATCCATTTAAGTTCTCCTATACCAGAACACAAACATAAAGAATCAGATTGATTCTTTCATGTTCTTTAGAAAACATTCTCATCACATCAAAAAATTCAAATCAGATGATCCATCATCCAGCTATTGCAGATCTAAAAACCTGACAAAGGATATTCTTGCTGTTGGTCCTACCTACAGATTCTCCAGGATGATTTGCTGTTTGGTAGTTTCTTTTATCTGTTATAATCTTGGCTCTTTTCTACGCTCTCAGAAATCATAGCCCCAACGTGGCCTTGCGGCTGTCAATTGGCGTAAACATATAGAACAGCGTCAATAGCAAAATTTGTAATTTACTGTGACTACGCTTGCCTTCAAGATTGAAGAACTTCAAATCCAAACTTTCAATTCGAACTTTTCAAACTTTGAGCTTTGAGTGCAGAAATTTGAGGTTCACTGGAACCGGAAAACCTTTTCCCAACATCTAGATTCCCGAATCCTATGATGGTCCCCATGGCTTCATGATGATATCAATTATAATACACTCAGTTTAAACATTTTACCAACAGACTGTCTTTGGTACAGGCGAGTCAGGCTAAACCATGCTAAGAGTAAGGAAGGAATTCATTTCTTATGTACCAATTTCGGTTATACGAAAGTAGTGCAAAGCTTTTCACAAGGTACCGTGTGCTGATGATGGTTGGCAATTTGGACTCCTTCTAGTGTCTGGAAGATTTATACATATAATCTCATACAGTGCATGGCGATGGTTTTGAAGTAATCTTCAGACATGAAATGCGTATATGAGAATCGATGTTTTGGTTTCATTGTTAATGTCCAGGGATTCGTTTGATGAATTCTCAAGTTCAACTACTTAGGGTATGTCTTGGTCGGCTTACGCTTCTTTTTTTTCGAAGCACATCAACAGTGAAAAAGAGACGTAGAATGTATTCATTTGAGATAGCGTAAAGCGTCATTGGGGCGCATGTAATGGAGCCTTTACGCGAGTCCAATCAAATTTTACGCTTCCTCACATCGTCAAATGTTAGAAATTTCATTTGGAAGGTGTGGGAACACGGCTATGATTGATTGTTTTTCCAAAGGGGACCATTGATCAGCATTAATCGTGGGTGTTTCTTTGGCGGAAGAGTAATATTTTATTGGACGCGAGCGGTCAGTGGATGGCCCACGTTTCGAGCAGCAGCGTAGCAACACCTGCGTAGCAAGTAGCGGCGATAAACTCAGCTCCACGCTGCTTGTCACTCCGACGTTGGATATTAAAGGCGCGTAATGTAGCGTAATGACCCATCTTACGCTCGAATCGCGGTACGTAACTGTCTCATATCTGGATGAATTCGATGCACAGCATCAATTCCCTCGCCTATAGCAGCTGAATCGGCCGCCACAACAGCGCAACCCTTTGTAAATCCCGGGTGTACGAATGTTCCATCATACGCTCGAACCACGATACGTAGAGAGACTCAAACCCATGCAAACCGGTCCTCGTAAATCTGGTATCCTCTTATTTAAAGGCGCGTAATGTTCCATCTTACGCTCGAATCAAGGTACGTAACTGTCTCATATCTGGATGAATTCGATGCACAGCATCAATTCCCTTGCCTATAGCAGCTGAATTGGAAGCCACAACAGCGCAACCCTTTGTAAATCCCGGGTGTACGAATGTTCCATCATGCGCTCGAACCACGATACGTAGAGAGACTCAAACCCATGCAAACCGGTCCTCGTAAATCTGATATCCTCTTATTTGTGGCGTTGGTCCGCCGGCAGAGATTTTGACTCTGAATTTCGGTCACCTCCGCTATCCGGCACAGAAGGTGTCCACCAAGGCACCAGATCTCAGGTTCACATGTAAACTTCAATCGAAAGTGGGGGACAGTCATATCCAGAAAAGGATTTACGTAGGAATATCACCTCTAGATTCGAACTCCAGCTGTCTGTCACTTATATATAAGCCATCAGGGCCTCAACCACCCCTTGTGTTTACATTCATTTCAAGAAACCCCGCTCTCATCATGTCAACTTCAATTCAGTCTACCGTTTTCCTACCTGATTACATCCTTGAATGTGTTGTTGACAAATCCACACCTAGGATTGATACCGAACTCTTCTTAACTAAAGCCAGTGCCAACAACCTCTTAGAAATGATTGTAGCTTTCTATCCTCACTTGAACTTTACGTCAACTGCAAAAGAAGATCGCGAGCTCCTTCGAAACATATTCAATGAGATGGTAGCCCCACGACTCTCTAATGTAATCATACCTTTACAACATACCACAAAGTATATTGAAGCCTCTTTGATGACCCCGACATGGGGCCCCCAAGGATCGTCCAAAACAATCAACTCCAGCGCTGATATCAACTACACCCGCACTGAAGTTTTCAACCGGGATGCTCTCACCTACCTCAAGATTGGACAGTACCGTCTTGCAGCCGAGAATCTCAACAAATTTACCAACACTTACACATACCTAAACATCGACGAGGTCAATGAGCTCTGGGGTGCTGAAAACGATGCCGAAGAGGCGCTGCACGATATTAGCTGCAACCTCAAAGAATGTCACCAGAAAATCGAGTCCACCCAGCTTTTGTTACGTTCCAAACTCTCACCATCTGAGCGGGAAGAACTTGAAGAGAAGTTGAAATGTGCAATCCTGGACTTGAATTCCCATCGAAGAACCTTTACCAATGCCATTCAAAATACTGGATTCATTTCAGCATTGGCCTCTCATCATCAGTACGTATTGTGGTCCAAATTTTTGTGCAACTATTCTGAATCTCATGTTATTTCGATTGAAATTAGAAAAATTCTGAATCAACACGAACCAACGAACTTAATTGTTTGACCCCACCTGGAAGAGACTGACTCCGGCATAACTGCTGATAGGTATATAACAATCTCTGAACCTTTTATGAAGCACGTACCTTTGATCTGATGTTGTTAAATTATTTATGCATCTCTTCAGAAGCTGAATTATCATAACCGGGTAAATACAAGGCTTGTAGGTTCAATCTGTGAGATCAAACGCGCGGCTTGTCACACTCCATCTAGCTAGGTTTTCTGTCCCTTTTGAAGAACCATAGTAATGAATAATATGTGTCAGATTAGGTGTTTCCAACATATGAGTTCTGATTCGAACAATCTATGGGTCTTGTTTCCTACTGTGATAAATTCCGTATTGAGTCAAAGAATATATGTGTGATGACTATTGTAGCTCCTGTTCATGACCATAGTCAAGGTATAAAAGGGTTTCAACTTTCAAATTAGAGACTCTCTCACTGAAGCCACACCGGTGCGCGAGTCACGCTACGAATGTGAACAATATTGGTGGCTAGATTCTTTCTAAGATCAAGGGTTGATAATAGGGTCAATACGCGAGTCAATACGCGCGGCCCCTCGCCGCAGCTCTACGCAATATCCGCTCATGAATTGACAGCCCTTTGTTTGACCCAGTTTCCTTTGCCTTCATCCTACGGCGCCTTCAAACCCGAGTCCCGATTCCACAAAACGCGCACGTGGACCACGTTTTGAGGAAGGCTGAATATTGCTATCATCCTTCTATTACCTTTCATGAAATCTTTGTACCCCGACATGGACATGAAGGATCATTCTTATCCGCCTTCCGTTCCCTTTCGCAGACCATTGGCACCAAGACATGGACGTCATGAGCAAAACGTAGCTCATCCTGTACTCGAGGGCCGGGCTGATGTTTACGATGATTCGCAACATCAACTTCACTGCTACATTGAGCGTTTACACGAGGAGTGTAAAGAACGAGACCGTCACCTCAATCGTTTAATCGACGAGCTTGGCGCAGATAGAATACGTATGACCGAAAAAATTGAAAACATCACGACCGAACAAGAACACTTGGCAAAACGTAATCAGAAAACACAGGAACACCTGATAAGAGTAAAAAAAAACTATGCCGAGCTGACCGATAATGTGGAGCAAAATTTCCGGGACTTATGGGAAGAAATAACAAGGTTGAAGAGACATTTAGCTAGTGCACAAGGCCAGTTGCTTACAACAAATAACTTTGCTTAAACTTACTTATCTTCCCCCCTATGTCTCTCTCCTCCAGAGATACACCGGACTGAAATGAGTGTGCTTTGCTCGTCTTTAGAGGAGTCAAAAAAGCTTGGAAATGTGGCGCAAGAAGCGGTTCGAAAGCTGTGTTGGTCTGCAGAAGAGGGGCTCAAGAAACTCTCTCAGGGAACCAAAGGTGTGAGATGGACATCGCTTTGCTTGAGCATGAGATTGAAGCTCACAAAAACTCCACTTCTTAGAATTCTACCAACACCGAATTCATTTGGAAGACACCACCAATCTGCGGCTGTCGAATTTCAAAGCGGAAGTGAATGATGTATTGCAAGCTGCAATAGGCAAGCCTTTCAAGACTGAAGATATGTTCATGAATCATCTATGTTTAATCTGATAACATCATGTGTAGAGGCGCAGACACAGGTGTCCCTCAAATACGAAGACGTTTTGCAACAGCAGCAAAATACTGAAAATATACTTGAAAATCTCACGTTGGATATTGAATTACAGGTAAAGGATATATTAGGTATTGGGTGATCAACTTCTCGTGATTTTTTAAAGTCGAACTCACGCCAATTACCTTTCTTCAGTCCGTCTCTTACACGAGCGGATGCAAGCTGATGGAGGATGGAAGAAATTTGCTAAAGGTATGTTAGGTGTATCAGTCTGGATATAACCTTGCAGCAAGATGCTGATGGAAGATGACTTGGTTTGTCAGGGGGGCGCACTTATCCATCTTGCAGGTTTTATATATTGATGCGCTTGGTTTTAATAATAGCTTTTGTAGGCCTATCAGTGTACTTTTTGCATGAGGACGACGAGCAATTCCTTGGACATAATGTGCTATAATTTGTAAATAATGGTTTTCAAGGTCCAATCTTTCATACGTTTCCTCTGATTTTTGACAAGTTATAAAAAGGTGATACATAATTATCAAACGTGTTCGTAAGGTTGTGTTATTTAAAATATTCGAAAATTCATTCGAATACAGAGGAGGTTCAAAACAGAGGCGCGAAATTTCCTTGGAAGACTTACTATACATATAAAGTGAGCCACTCAATTGCCAAATACGAGGCAGTTTTAATTCACTATTATCATCATTATTACTAACAAGTCTAAAAAATCCATTCCATCTTCATAGGCCGATGACAATGCACACCCACAGAGAAAAATGAAATAAAAATGAAGACCAAAATCCACTTCTATACGGAGATTTGTGAAGTGACATGCAAAAGAAATCTAAGCTCGTAGTGTTTGTTGACCGGGGGTATTTGATGAAAGACTTGTTCGATTCAAAAAGCTTGAAAGTTTGAAAAATAGAGCTAGAGGGGCAGCCCTTCATGCTGATACACCCTTTATGCAATAATAAAATACTAGTCCTTGAGGGCCTGCCTGAAAGCTTGAACTTCTGATAAAACTATCTTCGAGAATGGCATCACCCAAAAGTGTATCACGATTCCGGAACACATGGCAAGGATAGTCCAAATTGCAATCACCGATAGTGTGTCACAAAATCCTTCTACCGCTGTCAAACCATAATGATCCAAAAAATGATGTTCCGTTGATGCACATAGCTGATTTTTCACGGTACTTGGAAGCGGTGCCAGGTGCTGTAGCCAGAGCTTGAGCGCCTTGGAATGTGATGACAGAAGGACGTGGAAGATTCTTCGACAGGTACTGATAAGCATCAAGTCCAATAACAAGATCACACGAAAGGCGAACAGTAGCAAGAGTCTGTGCAGGTAAGACGTCTTGATACCAGCTTCTCATTATGAGTAGTTCGAAATTACATGGAATTGGATAGAATTAAGCGTCAGACTATGCTCAGGCTTATCAAGAGTTATGACGGGAAAGGATTATTCTTACCTGGCATTCTGGTGCGTGTATAGCGTGTATAGTATTTGAGAGTGCAGTGTATCTTGTTTCGATATCTGTGGTTTTCTGTGATTCTCGAGACGTGTGCGTAAGGTGTCTTATATGCAAGGCTTTTCAGATCATACATACGATCATAGCCCTTTATCCGAATGACTGTGCTGTTTAGTCTCATGCTCAGGGCCGTCATTGATACTTCCTTATATAATCCTCGATACACCTTCATCGAAGCATCTCACCTTCTGAAATCCTTTGTAACAAGCTCAGATGTGGGAGCGCATCAAGCCTTCTGGTTCACGGTTATTCGTTGGCTCATGCCCCTCAGCCTGAGGGCCTGGCCCTCAAGGTCATTGTTGAGCTGCTGAGCAGACGATCTAATCAATCCCTCCTTGATAAACACATGTAACTTTCTCAACTGGGCTAAGTGGTTCCAGAGATCCTTTCTGGGCATCTCCCCCTTTATTGATTGATCACTTGTACCCGCCGTTGAAACTTTCAACTCCAAGTACTTTTCAAACAAAATGTAATACGAGCCCTTGTATAGTACCAACAGAAATATTTCTGTTGAGTACTCAGAGGAAGCTCATTCAGGGTCCAGACAAGAGTTGATAACTCTCCTCATAAATACTAGCATGATCCATGCAATGAACCACTTCTCCATATCACGCTTGATCCTGGTATTCTCAATTCAATTTCAATACATAGCCACTTGATCTGACAAATATATCACTTGATCAAAAAATATGTCCGGCCAACACAGTTATCCTCACCACTCCACACGCGCTGGCTGCGTCAAACACAGTATGTGTCAGCAAGGCGTGCCAATGACATTGGCAGGAGTCAGACGTCCCAGGACCAATTGTAGAAAGGGTATGTATTGTCTACCTTCGATTCACCAATTCGAACTCCCTCACTCAACTGAATATCATTACCTCAGGAATACCATGGCGTCGGTTCTTTCGCTCACTAGCAACCTATCTCAACCTTATGGTGATAGTGGGCATATGGATTTCGGCTCGATATCCAACGGGAAGTTTGGCGGTATCTTCGAGCGAGTGGGCTCCCAATTTTCTACACGATGCATGGGGCAGTGCGTGTTTTGCGTGTCGAGGAAATATGAAAACCTACCTCAAAATCGCTGCACCGGAGTCATTTTGCCTCGAGGCCTTGCATGGAATCTTGATGGTAGTCTTTGTTGTCCTAGGATGATAGTCTTTGAATTGGTACTCCGATCCTTGTGCTTGTATGTTCCCTCACTTCCCTTTGAGTTATCCGCTCTCAATTTCTCTCAATCTGTTATCACCTGACTTATCCATCTACGCTTTCTCTTTGTTTTGATATCTTATTGTATGTCTATCAGTTTCCTTTAGTGCCTCACTTGTGTCTCAAATTTTAATTATCCAGAGTATTGTGGAGATAGATCTCTGTGGAACTCGCACAGGATCGTGTATGGCAAGAGTGAAATATTTATACCTTTCTATGGGCTTTCCTTGATTTCATCTTTCATTTTCGGAGCTGTGAGATGTTGGCAAACAGTCTCCATAAAGAGCAATCTGAAACCTTTCCATCGATTTTGTGATCTTTGGATTGCTAGTCTCAATCATATGCAGATGAAAGATACGCAGAGAAATTGAATTTCGAACTTCAGACTTCAAACTTCGAAGTTCAAAGTTCGAAGTTCGAAGTTCGCAGTTCGAAGTTCAAATTTCAAATTTCGAAGTTAGTTTCGAACTTCGAACTTCAAACTTGGAAGAGTTCAAAGATATTGACTTGGTTGAAATTCAATTGGAATTCACGTCAATAACATAAATGATGTCACAAAAAGGGAACATAATAGTGAAAAATCTAAGACTGAAGTTAAGAACTGTATTACATGTGATCCATTGAACAATCAAATGAATGCGCCTCAAAAGTCTAAAAGTCCTGTTGCCAGATGCCTAACTTGAGGGCAAGAGCCTTCATTTTTTTGTGAGCTTGCTCTTTATATCCAGTCAAAACTGTTGATGTGTAGTCTAACCAGGCCTCATCACTCATCTCGCTTCGCATTTATTTGACTTTGTCGAGCCGATTGACTAGTCCTTGGGCTATTTGAGTGGAACACGCGAAACGAGTGATTTCGGCCTCTTGTGGAGGAATTTGTTTGGAATTTGAGTCGTATGTCCTGGACGGGGTGGTATGATGATGAGCTTGTGAATTCCAAAGCATCTCGATGATGCCATCAGTTGCATCCAAGTTGATATCAAAGTTGTAGTCGTCCAGTACAAAGTGTGCACCCAGAGTGTTACCTCTTGGTGCGGTTGACCCACGATGATAAAATTCACCAGTTGCTCGGTCAATCAGCCCAAAAAAACCAAAAGCATATTTCGACGCATCACGATCTTTGTGTTTCTTGTTGGCAAACTCATCAAAGGTCACCGTGATGTTGGATCCAAAGACTTGGGCATTGGGTGATACATAAAAAGACTCGTTTGCCCAAGATGGAGCGTTGGTACGAGCAGCCAGAGTGGCATTGGATTGAAATGCCGCCAATGATAATCCTGAAAATCTTTCAGCAAAGAAAGACTCGATTGCGGGAAGGTTCCCCTGTCGTTTCAAGTCCGCCTCCATCTTGCGATAATCTGCAGCGGTGGCTTCATTCCAGGTGTACTGCCCTGCAAAAGGTAGATTTGGGTGAGGAACTGCAAATCATGTCATCGCATGATTTGAGATATATCTCAACTAACCTGCTTTGACCTCCTTATCATACCCAGGACGAAAGCCAGCCGCAAACATCCTGCCATGTTTTCGTCCTAATCTCCTACAACGGTAAGTCGCTCCATTGTTTTTGACTTCACCACGAGCTCTTGCATGCTGATAGACAGTCGATATTGAATGATTAAGCATTTTGAAATAGCTCTGGTCCATGTCGTCCCGTTCAATAAATCGTACTACGCACAGTAGCTCACAGGTATGGTAGTCGAGGCAAATGACAGTTCCATAAGTGAGAGTTAGGCGAGGTTGTCCATAACGACGACCTTTTTTAAAGAAAAGGAACTTCGCATTGGGGGGTAGGCCATAAGCTTCTATAAGTTCAGCCTTTTTGGTAGATCGAGCATTTGGAGGTGGCTGCTCGGGTCGCTCAAGATGCTTTCTAATAGATCGATTGAGACGAGATTTTAAGGTTGCTGGGGATTTGTATTTAGGCATGGCTCCTGCAATGAAGATTATAACTAATGCTAAAACTCTTGCTAAATATCACTCTGGAATGAATTGATCAAGTACAAAAAATTCACTACCTCTCTTCTAGCTTCTGAGTTTTGCGTCGCGATGATCCAAGGTCCGAAGCATTCAAGAGAGGATTTATAGTGAAAGATTTGTAAGTGAAAAACGAATTCCGAGAGTAGATAGTAAGATGTTTATTCAGAAATTCGATTGAGAGTAGTTATAGAAAGATAATGAATGATGAGAAGCTGAGCTGATGAAATTTGATTAAGATGTAGTCTGATGTAGTTGAGGGAAGGGAAAAAGATTGATTGGTTGGGCCGAATTAGAAGATCATACATTAAATCTTTCTACTTTCAGATAGTATTTGCAAATTTGAACTGCAAATTTCCTTTAAATTGAAAGATTCGTGATCTTTCCTCTTGTGACTACAAATCACATGGTATGGCTTTTTCAAGTGGAATAGTGCCCATGTAATTTGGTACATTTGTTCTATTGGGAATTCGAAATCGATATTGATATTGTTGAATGGCGTATATATTTGACTTCATATCACATCGGACATGGCTTTTTCGAAAGGAACAGTGCCCATGTAATCTAGTATATTGGTTCTATTGGGAATTCGAAGTGAACATCAACGTTCGAAGTAAAATTAACTTTTGAATGGCGTCTGAGTTAGATTCGAACAGCACCATATCTGAACGCGCTGCTGAGCCTCAGCCCTGGGTCCAAAAATTTATATATGTACAAGATCAAGACTATGAGTGAGATAGAGGATCTCGACGTAGAGAAAATACTTTTTAGGAACTTTCTGTAAATAACTTTGAGAAGAATATGAAGTGGGAAGAAGGTGTTCAGAGATCATCCACTTCATATAAGAATCTCACAAAGGTAAAGAGCATCCTCAATAGGTAATGAGGGAATACTTTATTCGGAGTTGGTAAAGAGTACAGCATGTGCTGATCATTTGCGACGCATAGGACACGCGAATGCTTACGGATCGTTTGTTGGAGCTGTGACACATGATCAGCACGTGACACCTATTCTCTTTTCTAGAAGCAGGCTCCTAGTCCAAGTCAAATGTGATTGTTGCTACACTATATTACTAGTTCAAGAGGAGAACAACCAGGCCAATGATTGCACTGTCTTCATTTTTATCCCGTATTTCTAAGTTTTCATTATATATTTTTAGATCAATGTAGAAAAAATTGCCCATTGTTTCTTTTTGAGAAAGACCACCGGCAGCCACCGGTGGAACTATGTAGGAGAGCTCTATGAGTCGTACATGAATCAACAAACTTCGGTAGTTAGTTTGTGATCACAAAAGTTAAGCTTTGGATGAGATGATTGTTCATTATCTTGTAACATGCAACACAACACAAACAGACAAGAAAAAGATACGGGACTAACGAACACTATTACTTCGTACTTGATGAATAATACGTAATTTGATAACCTGACAATCTCGAAGGTTTGTCACATGAGGTTATACTTTTGATCCTCAAACAAATCTGCATTTCAATACTCTGAAAGATGTAGCTTGACGCAGATATCTACCTGCAAAACAAAAAATCTGGAGATGCTTGAGCGTATCTACTGAGTCAGACTGAGTCATCCCAAAACACAACAAAGATTGTATCTTCGTACATGCCTCAGGGAGAATCTGCAAAGTTTATGAGGTGACTTTGGAATTACATGGAATATCTGATTACTACATACGAGTAACAAGGTTCGAGATGTTTACGTGTTGAAGTTTGCTGCTTAGCACCGCCTTTGATGCTACCTCATTTACTTCACGCATAAAGTATTCGAGTCTGCGTCTTTGCTCCCCTCAACGATTTCAATTGCCTCAATTTCACCGTCTTCGTTTCATTGCTTGACTTTCCTTCTCCAACTCGAAAATCCCTATCAATTCTATCACTTCCTAACTCCTTGTTTGAACTTCGAAATTTCTACGATTTTTTCCGTCGCTGCTAAATCCATCAATCAATTTTTTTATCGCCTCTTTCATTTTAAATGAGTTCTTCACAAGAAACCGATTCGGAAATCGTACCACTGGCACCGGGCACTGTCATCAAAATCCAACCTAGATCGCCTCAATCTGTTCGATGCGAGACCGAGCTCAACGAAGCATTGATAGGGAAAGATGATTACACGAAGGTACATTTGTATGCCAAGCCGTGTTCCAGATGCGCCAGGACCAATCGAATCTGTGTGGCCATCCCCGGCAAATCACTCAAGTGCCGAGACTGCAAGGCCTCGAAGGTAGTTTGTGACGTCAATGGAGAGGAGTCTACAGACTTCATGTGGATGCGAAACAGAGATGGAAAGCTCTATCCGGATTCGAAGTTCGATGAAGATCACAAAACTTTGGCTTCGAGCACTTGTCTTCCGCAGGAACTCTCCCTCTTGGCGCCGGAGGATGTAGTTAGGGTTGATGATTGGTCAACAATGACACAAGGTAGGTTACCATTTCCGTTTTCTTGGAGTTGCGTGTTCGGGAGAAACAAGATGAGCTAATTAATGTTTCTTCTTAGATGTCGACCTGCTTGCTCCCACTGCACGACAAGATTTTGGTGCGGAAAGACCTTTGAGTAGAAGCCCGGGGTCACGAATCATACAGGACGATCTCAGAGCCGACGCTTACCTTCAACATATGTTGGGATGGCAGCGAAGCCTTCAGGCACCACCCTTCCAACCACCACCTGGTTGGGTTCCTAACCCAAAGGAACCATCACCTCCTAACCCAAGCGAACCACTACCATTCCAGCCACCACCTTTGAACGCGAGCCCAGGTCCATCGAAAAAGAGACACGTGGAGGATTCCGCTAGCTCTGAAGAAGAATGTCAACCAAAACGAAAGATCAGAGTCACTCTTCGTAGACCCATAAGAGTGGAGGACGACCAACCCTCACCCTCTGCACCTCCTCGGACGGCTGGTACTTCGCATCTCCAATCCTCTCCACACACCTCCTCGGATCCTCCTCAATCCCTGCCCCCGCCTTCGATTCGACGCGCTCACGCTTCTCCGGCACCCTCTCTTTTGAACCTTGAAACGGCTCGACGCACTCACGCTGCTCCGGCACCCTCTCTTTCGAACCTTGAAACGGCTCGACGCACTCACGCTGCTCCGGCACCATCTCTTTCGAACCTCGAAACGGCTCGACGCGCTCACGCTGCTCCGGCACTTTCGAACCTTGAAATGGCTCGACGCACTCACGCTGCTCCGGCACCCTCTCTTTCGAACCTTGAAACGGCTCGACGCACTCACGCTGCTCCGGCACCATCTCTTTCGAACCTCGAAACGGCTCGACGCGCTCACGCTGCTCCGGCACCCTCTCTTTCGAACCTCGAAACGGCTCGACGCGCTCACGCTGCTCCGGCCCCCTCTCTTTCGCACCTCGAAACGGCTCGACGCAAGTCTGCTGCGCCGGCACCCTCTCTTTCGAACCTCGAAATGGCTCGACGCAAGTCCGCTGCGCCGGCACCCTCTCTTTCAAACCTTGAAATGGCTCGACGCAAGTCCGCTGCGCCGGTACCCTCTCTTTCGAACCTCGAAATGGCTCGACGCAAGTCCGCTGCTCCTGCACCCTCCATTTCGAACTCAGAGACTGCTCGACGCGCTCCCCCGGCTCCTTCGACCTCTGTTTTGCCTCAAACCTCACAAATCCCATTATTTAGATCTTCGCCCATGGAAGAGGTGAGACAAAGCAATGAACAAGTCCAACTTCCACATGACAACCCGAGACACAGCGACCAACGAGTCCAATCTACAGATCAAGACGAGAGACACGCCGAAGAACATGGACAACCCGGAAAGGATGATACAAGACTAAACAAGCCAGAGCATCAGCTCTCTCTCGAACCTGAATTTCTACAGGGTTTAAAAAACGAAAAGGCCAGGAGCGACCAGGGTGATGATCAAGACTCAGATGATAGCTCTATAGACTGGGGTGAAGCCAAGCCCAACACGTTTGATGGTCAGCTGGTGGCGGAGCAGATGAAGAAGAATGTAAAAGATATGATGAGGTTCATGGCAGGTAAAATGGTGGATATTGCTGCTTTTATCCCAGCTGGTAATAATTTCAATACTTTCATGGCTATACGTAGGGAGATTCAAGATAAGTGGAAGGAATATAAGGAGGAAGTGAATGACGCCCTCAAGCCTTTACAAAAACTATAGATTGGATTTTCATTTTACTTCTTGTTTCCAGAAAAAATCCGCCTTAACTTTTTTCGAATTATCTACTAACTTGATTTCAAAAAAGATTTGTTTTCCAAAAAAAAGTATTTACTTGGCTTCAAAAATTCTACTAACTTGATGTCAAGAAAAAAGATATATTTTCCAATTTACTTGTTTCCAAAAAGAAAATCTACTTATTTTCAAAAAAAGAAAATCTACTTGCTTTCAAAAAAAGAAAATCTACTTGTTTACAAAAAACCCTGTTTTTTAAATATTGTTTTGTCTCACTTTTTCAATGAGTAAATCTACTTATTTTCAAGAAAGAAATTCTACTTGTTTGCAAAAAAAGTCTGATTACTTGTTTTTGAAAAAATGTTGGCGGTTCGTCTATTGATGTCGTATTTGTGTTTTTTTTATCTTGTCGAATTTTGAAAAGATTCAAGCTGAAAGTGCTGTGCTTTCCAAGTTGACGTTCGAGCTTTGAACTTCAAAGTTCGAAGTCGAACTTCAAAGTTCGAAGTTCAAAGCTCGAAGTTCGAAGTTCGAAGTCGAACTTCATGAGCCATGCAAGTTCTCAGTCGTAAACGGCTGTTTTCATAATAAGGCTAAAAGGATTACATAATAGCTATTTGGCGCTGAGAGGTAATTTGTAGAGAACAGAAGGATTAGGAACAAGGAACATAGATAGTAGTATCAGTTATGGAAACTTTTTTTCGTATATATAGTTGTTGTTCTTTTTCCTTCACTTACATACACTTTTTTCAAATAAAATGTTTGTCATTTTGGATCAGGGATTGGATCA